AAACAGTAATGTTCTGGTGCCATTTAATTGCAATAAAGTTGTTGTTTGCAAGGGCTGGTTGTGAAGATGGCTGAGGAGAGAAAAGCAATGGAACAACGTAGGAGACTATCTGATGAAGGTTTGGTTGTTTTTTTTTTTCCTATGTATCTTCATGATCTGATTTTTCACTGATTTATTTTTGTTTGGTTGGTTTTTGTTTTTTCTTTTGGCAGTTTCCCTTCCGGAGAAATTGCATGTTATGGATGAATTTTTGGTGACTACTTTAGGGAGCAGGTGTAAATAGCTGGTACACTGTTTAAAATGTGTCTGTGGCAAGTGCAGCAAAGATGTTTATTGTAACCATTTATACACAGTGACCCTTTATGGCTTTGGAGATTTTGATTATGCATGCATGGTAAGGTCATCACAACCTGAATGCATAGAACTGTTAAATTTAATTCTTTTTTGGCGTAGCTTTTTTTATTTATAAAATTTTCTGAGTAGCTTTACAAGATGTATGCTGTAGAGTTCATTTGGAAGCATGTGAAATATACAAAAATGTATAGGATGTCTAAGCCTCACGTAGAGCATTTGATTTAAATACTCTCCTATTTCAATATATATTAGAAACATGGAAAGAACAATTATTTTAATAGTTGCCTTAAACTAAATGTGTATATATAGATATATATTTAGTAATGAAAACTTGGCTCTAACAAGGATTTTTTTTTAAGCTTTAGTTTAATCAGATGTGTGGTTCCCATTTGAAATCTCTGGCACTACAGACGTGATTAAATTTAAGTGTGTATGTAACTGTGTTTCTGGATTAGGGGTGTTATGCAGAATATCTGTATTTGAAGAAAAAATCTGCATGATTTCTTTCTTCTAGAAAGTCTCAAAAGATAAATTACATACAAAAGGTTTATACATCTCTCTGGTTATTCTGTCCTCATATGGTATTCTTGCTTTATAATATACATGGCTCTGCTAAAGCACAGGTTGTTATCTCAGCTGTCTCACTTGGGTGGGGAGCAGTCATGGTCCCACTTGTTGGCAATAGGAGTGTTCATCATCATCATGGGTGTCAGAAAGAGAACCCTGTCATTGTATTAGCCAGTGTAGTTGGATACAGATGAAGGAAGGGGACAAGCAGGCTGAAACTTGCTGTTCAGGGAATGTCTGAGCCCTTGTGATGGCTGCTGCTCTGGAAGCAGTCTGAGACAGGCAAAATGCACAAGAGAATCCCATTTCTGCACAGTGCTTCATAATCCCCCATAATCCAGGGTCTGTTTTAACAGCCACAGTACAGTCCTTACAGATTATAATTTACTAAATGAGGGAAGAATTAGCGAGGGAAGAGTTAGTTAGCAGGCACTGTTTCCCTCTGGTCTGGCAAGTCTCTGTGTCAAACTTTCTTACCTTTTTGTTCTTAACAGAAAGGAACCAATTGCCTGATTGGAGAATGTGGGGGAACAGAACAGATTTTGTTGATGAGGGTTCAGTCTGTTCAGCTGAGTATTTTGCTAAGCATAGAGTAACTGCTGAAATTGGATACTTGAGAGTCTTTGCCCCAGCTGATATGCTCTTGAAAGAGGGGGAAAAGAAGTAAGTCCTGGTCAGAAGAGATGGGGAAACAAGTGGATTGAAGGTAGAGGGCATGCTGCCATGTTTTTTCTCTTTTACCACCATCTTAAATGGTGTTGTACTGGTATAATTAGGAATACTATTTGACTTCTGTGAGGAAAGAGATGAGCTGGAGGCAAAATATTTCATTAGAAGCAGATGAGAAAATAAGAATTATAAATGCTGTTTATGTTGTAGTAGGTCATAGAAATTCTAGTCAGAGCCCAGGATATCATTTTAGAAATGCAGAACAAAGTGATGACCCATTTTAGTTCATAGTCAAAATGATAAAGTTTTAGATATTGTAAGACCAGGCAAGCAGTAACAAAAAAGGCTTTGGTATTACTTCATTGCTCTTGATTTCATTATTTAAGAGAGCCATGTCCCACAGAAACATCGTCGCTGCTGCTAGAGAGCAGGCTTCCTGTGTATCAACAGAAGATTAAGAGCCATCTGCATGGAGATGTTCTGTGTCTGTGCTTCTGCTGGCTCTTTAATCATTAAAGGAAGACATGTCATGCTTCCCAGGGCCAACACCCTCTTGTAACCATTGACTACCTTTGTGGCTTCTTGCAGAGCAGACAGCGTCAGTAATGCAGGAGCCTTTTCTCTACCTTGTCTTTTTTTGCTCTATGTTCCACTGATCTGGTAGGAGCTCTTTGTTCTTACATGTCTGTTGTCTGGCTAGCCATGTTATTTCTTTGTTCAGGTTGTATAGTGCAGTAATACTCTATTTTTCAAGTATTTACATCGGTAATGTCAAGGGGAGCTGTTTCCCTGCAGCTTTACTTTACTCTGGAGCTGAGCAGAATGAGAATCTGAGTATGATGCCTTACTTCAGTTTGTAAAAACTCAAGAACGCTAAAGTCCTGATATACTTAGCATGTTTTGCTGAATTACAAATCTTCTCAGAGGAACTGTTGTTCCATAGGATTACTTGTTTACTATTTGTGTTGAACTGTAAGGTAGGTAGAGATATTTGGGAGGATAATGTGCTCTGGACAAATTTTCCTGAAGGAAAACTCAAGTTAGTCAGGAAAATGAGCAGAAACACTTCTAAGCTGCTCTGTCTCATGGTATTTGCTGACTCTGTTCCTTTGAAATGATCTTACTAGATATATTCAGAAAGGTTTTATAATTTTTTGATAGGTTTTTATTGTCTCTCTTAGTTTTGAATTGCTGGGAGGTTTCCTCCTTTTAGGTATAAACCTAAGCCACCACTTTTTCACAGCTCAGGCAACTATCATAGTCTTCTTGCTTCTTGACACTTAGCTGTTGCTTGAAAGAGAACTTCCTTAGCTTGGGCTACAATCTGTGTTGTGCCTGAAATCTAATTTCTACATATCTTGCTGGTTGCCACAGGAAACAATATTGCTTTGGCAAGGAACTGAACAAAATTACCTTGTCCTAATGGGTCATGTGCAAGAAAAGAAAACGGGAACTCTGAAACTGGACTTTTGAATAGCTCAAACCTTTGAAGCATTTGGTTAAAAACAAAATAAAAACAACCTGACATAATTTAACATGGAAAATCTAGGATTATGTTTTGTAACAATGGTGTGTTAGCCAATTTTTTCACAACCTGGCCTTATACTTAGGTCAGCTGAATTGTATTAAGAATTAGCACAGATTTAATCCACTGAATTGTTTAGCAGATAGAATCCCATGAGTGATTCATGTGTGTTTCACAAAGTCCTCCTTAAAAAGAAATGCACGTTAGTGGAGATCTGACCATACACACACAAGTCTGCTTTCATGCTAAAGTTCTTCAGACTTATTTAATACCAAGGGGTTAGAAAACATATAATGATCTGGGGTGCAAACTTGCTAACCAGAGTGGTTTTTCCATAAAGCAACTAAAAAATACATGAAGTGCTATTTTTTTAATGTTTACTCTAAATTTAATGTATTAATAGTGAAAATTTTAAAACTTGTAACCTGAATTCTTTTGAACTGGGCATTATCATGTTGGAGTTTTTGCAGCCAAGTTACAAATCCCAGAAAAATAAGGTTTGCATGGAAAGTTCTTGGCAGATCTCTCTTGGAACAGCACAAACAAAACGCTCAACAAGGAGGCATTCATTATTTCTGTCTTGTTACCCTCTGTTATTGCAGTCACCAGCTGTAAAGTTACTGGCATCTTTGAATCTTTCTAATAGAAAGCATAGGGAGCAGTCATTCAAGGCTGGTAGTGAGAGGTATGTTGAAGTTTTGAGGCTTGCTTTCTTTTTTAATAGCTATTGTGTTTTATCAAGCTGAGCTAATGCATTGTCTGCATGTTCTCACAGCAGACAGTTAAGGAAACTAACTGAATTTCAGCAGGACAGATCTGTTGGTTTAACTTCAATTGTCTGTGGTCCTAAGTGTGCAATTAAACCACAGATGGGCAGTGTTACCATGTTACCATGTCATGAGAAGTGGAGATTTGTCTGCTTAGTGTTTGTAACTACTAATTGATGAATTCTGCAAGCGATTAACAGAAGCAGAAGCTCAAGAGAGAGTTAAAGGATTTATGTTTTTTTAACTTTTGGTTATCTTGAAAATGTCAGCCTCATATAATTAGTGTTTATTAGTATTTTCACTTAGTGCTTTGAAGTCCTCAGTTTTATCACACCTTGACTGTATTTGCTGGTTTGTCTAGCTTAAAAGAGAAAACAAAACATTTTCTGTCTTATGCTGTAAAACTTAATTACACATACCGGGCTTTAAACGGATCCCTTAAGACAAAAGTACTTTAATTTTATATTTTCATATTTAATAGTATACTACCTTACAGAGCTTTATAAGAACATTTATGAGAAAATTCCATACAGTATCCAGTGTGTGGTACAGTGCCATCCTCTGAATGATCAGAAAAGCCAAGCCATGTTCTGACAATGTCTCTCCATCTCATTTTAGGTAGGCGGGAGTTTGCCTGGACTTACATGAAGATTTTGAGTGGCAGCTGTTTCTGGATGAGTAATTTTTGCTTCCTAGGTTTGGATTTGAAGGGATGTGTTTTAATTGACGTGCTGGTACCAGCAAGGGCTGATTTAGCTGGAATTGAATTAGGAACTCAGTCAGTTTGTCTGAACTGGGTTTCTCAGACTTACGTAAATAAAAAAGCTACCTCAGGAACCTGTAAGAAGAGCCCAAGTTAGACATGGTAAATATTGAGAGGTAGACTATTCAGGCTTAGGGTAAGTTCAGTTTTAGACTTACACAGACTTGGTCCCCTCCTTGTTTACAAAATCTGTTTTCTGACCTTGGTATTCCAAGATAGGGATATGTCCCAAAGTCTTTTGCTTCCTCACAGACTAGGGACTTTATGCCGGAAGACAGGTATAAATAATACTGAGACCTGCTTTTCAGTCCTGTTACTTGTCATTTTTTAATCTGTGCTTTTTTTGTCTCTGTAGGATGACTGTTAAGGAGAATTTGACTGGAAGGACAGTGCATCTCTGCCATGAGTGAATATCCAAGTGAGAGGATGAATTTACTTTAAATATATGATCAGATTAGTTCTAATTCCTTTCATTGATGGACAAGAAACATAAATTAGCAATGGAATTACTAGAATTTTAAGGTGTGTTTTCACTTAAATATTACATAGGTGTTTTAACTCCTTAAAATTTTCATAGTATAGTGGTTCTGTAATGACTTAATATGGCATGTTTAGCTATATCAAATGCATTTTTAAAAAAGAAGCTCTATTACTTAGGAGGCTACTTTAGTTCATTTTTACAAATAAATGTTTAGAAACTTGTTTGCTAAAGCATTAAAGGGGTAGAACAGTACTTCAAATGATCATTAAATGACACAGTGAATCATTTCTGAGGCTAACAGTACAATGTGATGCAAACCATTTGTCCAGTATGTAATCGTTCTGCCATTGCAAGTTTCAGCATGATAACTTTCTGTTCATACGTTTTACCCTGAGTTAGGTGTTGTCCGTACTAGTGCAACCACCACGAACACTGTATTATGACTAATGAGACAGAAATACAGTCATGCTAAGACCAGATCCAGATTTCTTCTTTACCACTGTTTTATTTTCAAGAGCTAATGAAAACCAAAGCCTGCCAGGTGATAGAAAAAGCTTTGGGCTGTTGGAAATAGCTATACATTGTTTAGTAGGGAGGAACTGGCAGGAGACTTTAGCCCTACTTTTCCAGCTTCCTGGGTTTATGGGTTTTAGAGTTCATGAAAAGGAAAATGAAGGGGGAGGAAAAGCATTAATTGTAGCAAATGTTAACAGTCTTTTCACTCATTCTTTTCTATGCATAAGAGAAGTAAACAGGGAAGAAAGTCATCTAGGGAAGGAAGAGTGAAATTGAAGCACCTAGTTTAGAGATAAGAAAAAGTAAAAAACATTTTGCCTTTTGAAATTAAAGCCATCTGCTGTACTTTAGTGTTAAAAAAAGTCATGGATAAATGGCCTGCCTGGTGACCAGTTATTTGTATTGCGTCACAATCCTTTTGGAAAAGATTTTAGCTGAAAGTGTAAGTTTTATTTTTGTAAACTAATTTACCATTCTTCTATCCTCTATTTTGCTTAGCAGTCATGTGTCCTGGGTTGTAACAGGCGTCATGTACAACGTCTTTTATACCACATGACAAAAATCTGTGCTAGTGAAATTAATGTCAAGTATGCCAAAGGTCTGCTAAACTAATACTGAAGACCTGCAATATAAGTCAGTGGAAGAAAATATGCACTGTATATAAGAAGGTGTATTTTTTTTAATTCAACTATTAAGACTGTAATCAAATGCTCTGTACACAGGGAGTGATGTTTAAGAAATTTAAAAATCTATTGGGCTAGAGCCCAACAACAACAGACACTTAGAGCACTGGTTCAGGTTGACATAAATGAGGCCTTTAAGACCTGAATGCCGCATAGCCACCAAGCCTGCTGCTAGCAGAAAGTACAGGAACTGGAAGGATCCTCTCTTTTCTAACAGCTGCCAGTGGCTTCCAAAGGCAACAGTCACAGCTGGCAGTCTCTCAGTAGTGGGGACATCCTGAATTTGGCTTCTACTCTGGCAGCAGTGAGTTGGCTTTTTGCAGATACAGTTATAGCCTTTCCATGTCCTTTAATAATTTTTGTGTGAGGGATTCAACTCGACTAATTTAAGACTCCATGCAGAGACAAATAAGGACCAAATGTAATTTTAGGAAGTACTCAGGTTTAACCTAATGATTAGTATTGGCATAGATTTTAACAAGATGACTGGTAAAAAGTCTAGTTTCTAACAGATCTCTTGCATGTTTTCCAGACCCTTTATAGTACAGTACTCTCTGTTCTCAAAATGAGAAATGCTGGTAGGAGCTTCAGAAGTGGAGAGAGAAATTTATTATCCATTTACTCAAAAGGCTTATGTTGTAAATTTTTCCTTCATTCTATCGCATTAATGGATTATAGCTCTGTGCTTCTTCTACCCTGTAATGCAAATGCAGTGTACCAGAGCATAAACTGCTACGTTTATAATTCTTGTTGATTAATTAGTAAGGTCTTAATCTCTTAATAAGCAATATGATTGGAAAGAGAGTTTATTGAGGGGCAGGTGGTAATACACTTTGAACACTGGTCATCCGGCAAGCTGGAATTTAATGATTTCTGGTGTCTTCTGTGGATTTTCTTTTCTTCCTTTCCCATCCTTTCGTCTGGGACCCTGGGGTAGGGGAGAAGGGAATATGGTTTAATTTCAGTAAGTGCATGTTTTGGGAGTGTTACCTTGTTTTTGAAATAAATACCAATCTTATATGCTGCCAAACAGCCTTATTAGTTGGAACACAAATCTACATGGCAAACTGGTAAGCAGCTTTTAAACGTAATATTTTAGATCCTTTCAGAAAGAAAACTAGATTACATGAAAGCAGAGATTTTTAATTCTTAATTCTGCACCTCTAATTAAGTTATTTCAAGACTTATTTAATCCTGTTAGTCTACACCTGAATTCTCTAAGAATCTGGGTTCTGGTTTACTGCTTACTGTAGTCCCTGGAAATTTGTGATTGTCTTTGCAATCTTTTGATCAAATATTTGTTCTGTAAATCTCATAGACTTTACAGAGATTTTTAAATTGGTTTAAATGATTCTTGTACATTAAAGTCAGTCCTTTTAATTGGAAAAAACTACTCTGTGTCTTCTACAAAGAAGTTGGTAATTGTATTTGCTCTATTTTTTACAGTTGTGCTAAGGCTACAGTGAAATTAAATCAGAGATTCCATTGATTCTTAAAGTACATGTTATACACAGTATTTGAGCATTTAATCACATACATTAATTATGTTCATAATTATTGCATGATTTGCCCCATGCAGTTATTTCCCTATGGACTAGTGGCATTAAATGCCAGAGCTTCAGGACAGGGCTGCTGGGTTTTTGGTTGGTTGGTTTGTTCTTTTTTTTTTAAGCACTCAGTAATATGCTTTAAGAATGCTGATTTAATTTTTTACTTCTAATTTTGCCACAGATTTCTTCAGAGACTAATACTGACCAGTGTTTCCTTAGGGTATGGCTCTTAAAACAAAGAGAATGCTCAGGAAGCCTGAAAATCTTAGTCTAAGACTTCTTTTACTGATTATTTACTTTCAGAAAGCTTAGCAGGTTTTTTTTTGATTAAGCAAAATGAAAAAAACCTAGGCCTCATAGTAAGTATACTCTGTGCAATATCTGTACTAATCAGGACATTTCATATGAATGTTAGCAGCATTGACTAGTTAATGGTTAGCCACCATTATTTGTTTTTAGATTATCTGGATTTTTGTCCTGTGGTTTCTTTAAAGCTGTGATTCAGAAACCAGTGGAGTCACTGACTCACCAATTCCTTCAATCAAAGAACTATTCATTAAGTGTGGTTTGGGTTGGAGCTGCTGTTGACAACCTACCTACAGATCTGCTGAGTGGCTTCAAATTCCCAAAACATTAAAGAAGCAGAAAAATAGTTTGTTTCATAGCACCAGGTGGAGCAGACACAGATGCCAGTCCCCTTGCTTTGACTCCCATGCCTTCTGAATGGAAAGACATTGCCCCTCCTTTTCACCCAAGCAGTGGATGTTTTCTTAACTCCAATTATAAGTATTGTAGCATGCTTTAAAAAAAGATTAAAAAAAAATCAGGGAGTACTTTTTATTCTTTAAGTGACGTCTTCATAAATGTCTTGCTCTTCATCTGTTATAACATTAAAGAACTGGGATTACTTAGTTTAGAATAATGATGCATAACATGTATCTTGAGCTATTTAAAATAGTTAATAGTGTAAAGAAAAGCCCTCTAGCCCCCCTAGAACCTCTTCCTCTTGATGAGACACATTCTTTTGAGGGACTTTTTATTTTCAGATTCACTGGTGCTGACACTTGACACTTGAGGGAATGATGCATTTGGTGCTATTTGGACTCTTGAGTCCATTCTCAGTACTTGTGCGTACACTGGGAGCTCACTCTAAGTGGAAATTTGGACATCACATGAGGCTGTTTTGGCTACAAAGGGAACTTTAAATACAGTGTATTAAAATATTTTGGACACTTTCCCTTTGGGATGTATTTATCCGTTAATGAAATCTGTGTGGAACTTCGGAACAGATTCATGGAGAAGTGCCCACAGGTTGTGCTCTAGTACAGGGTTTAATTAATGCGGTCACTCTGGGAGGTATTGTTGTGGAGAGCCCAGGCATATGGTACATTCAAGCAGCTCTTTGAAATGCTTGTGATACCATCTCTGAATTAGTATGCAGAATGCCTGTTTCTTAGGGGTTTAGTGTGCCTGGGAGTAGAGGGATTTCAGTCTCCTGCTTTAATCCAATCTTGTTTTATTGAATTATTTATTATTTGCAAGTGATGGAAAAGGTTGGTTCATGCTTCTAAGGAATGGATGTGAGATGTTATAGAGCGAAGCGCCTGTTTTTAAACTGGGGGCAGGAATCCAACATGCCACACTTGCTTTCTGTATAATTGAAATATAAACCATGAGTGAATATGAAAAGATCTTCGTGATATAATTTAAAATAGACCAAAAAATTGAATACCTTAGTATTAATAATTTGTGCTTCAGTTGTTTTAATTAGTTATTTTTACTTTTACTCTAGTTACTTTCCTAGGCATCTGTTGTACTGGGACATATGCAGTATAAACAAGATGATAAAACTGTAATTTCTTGGTGTTTTATCAAGTAAGTCAAATAACAATAATACAGATGCTACTTTTTTGGGTTTCTTTTAACACAGCCTGGAAAATTTAAGATTTTTCCATTATGACATCCCCAGATAAATTGCCCAGAATGTGTAAAAATAAATGTCCTAATTGTTTGTGATTTTTAACAGAACTTAAACCCAACTTTATTTAATCAGCTTGAACTAACTAGATTTTATAAGGAAAAGTACTAAGACAAACCCTTGTAGGATACCTGAGAGCATTTTGTCTGGGGACTGTTTGTACAGTCTAGTGAACTTTAAATGTACAAAACTTTAAGTTCAGAAATCTTACTAAAATGTCATTTGCCTCAGATCTGATTAACAGCATCAAGAGCCGAGAGGATGGGAATTACATTCACAAAGGCTACCTATTACTCTTACATATTTCAGCATTCTAAAAAAGCTTAGGGAAGTGACTGGACTAGAATATTTATGCTTCATTCCAGGAAAAAAAAAAATACTTATTTAGTGAGCTCACAAAGCACAGTATCTTTTCCAAAGGAGATTTTGGTATATGTATCCTGATTAAATTCTCAATGTAAATAAAAAATAACATACTACATTCAGTGGAAGCTTGCACTCCTTTTTGGTAAGTACTTACTATAAAGGATATTACAAGTTTTATTGGAAGAAAGAATGAACTATCAATAGCTGTATAGCATCTCTGAGCCACTCAAGGTACAGTACATCTATTGTATCTGTTCCTCAGTCATCTCGTTTTCAGACTGAAGAGTTTATGTAATTATGTCTTGGATGGAAGTTCTTTCGTACCTCTGAATATCTGTAAAGTCCTTTTCTAAACCTTAATTTCAGTATCTATCCCTCAGACAAGGGAAGTGAGTGATGGGAAACGCCAAATACAAGGTGCATTCCTAGATGTGAACTGTCAGTTTACACAGTATTGTTCTCTAGACCTTTCTTACTATTCTGTACCATGTAGTTTTGGTTTTTCTGACTGCTGTTACGTGCTGAACTGATGCTTTAACAAAATTATTCCTATTAATCCTCACATCTTTCTTATGAATAGTAAAGGCCAATTCAGTGCTTATCATTCAGTACTCAGTTTCAAGATATCTGTCTCTGTAGGTTTGCATTTGTCTGTCTGAATTTTACCTGTCATCATGACCAAATCCTCTAAGGCTCTTGTAAAGCTCTTTTGTTGGCCCTTGTATTAAATATCTAAGATCTCCTTGCTGGCTGATTTGTCACTTTCTTGGTCTTTAGGTTGCCATATCAATCTGCAAAACGGTACCAAGTTTTGCAGAATGCACTGGTGACTTCCCTCCCTCCATCGACACACTTGTGAGGTGGGCCGATGACAACCTTATGAAGTTTAACCATGCCAAGTGCAAGGTCCTACACCTGGGTCAGAGCAATCCCAGGCACAGCTACAGGTTGGGCAGAGAAGAGATTCAGAGCAGCCCTGCAGAGAAAGACTTGGGGGTGTTGGTTGATGAGAAAATGAACATGAGCAGGCAGTGTGCGCTCGCAGCCCAGAAAGCCAACCGTATCCTGAGCTGCATCAAAAGGAGCGTGACCAGCAGGTTGAAGGAGGTGATCCTGCCCCTCTACTCTGCTCTTGTGAGACCTCACCTGGAGTATTGTGTGCAGTTCTGGTGTCCTCAACATAAAAAGGACATGGAACTGTTGGAACAAGTCCAGAGAAGGACTACGAGGATGATCAGGGGACTGGAGCACCTCCTGTATGAAGACAGGCTGAGGAAGTTGGGGCTGTTCATCCTGGAGAAGAGAAGGCTGCGTGGAGACCTCATAGCAGCCTTCCAGTATCTGAAGGGGGCCTATAGGGATGCTGGGGAGGGACTCTTCATTAGGGACTGCAGTGATAGGACAAGGGGTAACAGGTTAAAACTTAAACAGGAGAAGTTTAGATTGGATATAAGGAGGTGATTTCTTTCCTGTTAGGGTGATGAGGCACTGGAATAGGTTGCCCAGGGAGGTTGTGAATGCTCCATCCCTGACAGTGTTCAAGGCCAGGTTGGACAAGGCCTTGGGTGATATGATTTAGTGTAAGGTGTCCGTGCCCATGGCAGGGGGGTTAGAACTACATGATCTTAAGGTCCTTTCCAACCCTAACCTATGATTGTGGGACCCTCTATTTATGAGGAACATAATACTTATATTGTAAAAGTGATTTTTAAAAGGAAAAAAAAAACAGTACCTAATCAGAAAGTGTTGATGAGTAACAAAATAGTGTTCTCATGAAATAAATCCAGGGTAGGGCAAAAATTGAAAGTCATGCACCCAGAAGTGAATCATGGAATACACCCACTGACTACAATTATACCTTCCACACAAATACGTATGCTAGACTTCTGCATTTTGCGGCTTAGAACAGCAGGAAAATGTGCTAAGAGCAAAAATGCTCAAGTTGCTGTATTAGAGTACGGACAGTATTATTTAATCTTAAGACCTTGAGTATGTCTGCATAACCAAAGTGTGCAAACTGTTCTCTCATGGTAGGTGAGGGCAGAATGGTAGCTTTCAACAAAATAACAATATTCTTTCCATTATAAAAAAAAGGGACTTTAATTTTCTTTAGATTCAGTTGTTTCCATTAGGTTAATATTAACAGAAACCTACTGTTAGGAGAAAATGCCACTACCACCACCACCACCAAAATACCCAATAAAACACAACAGAAAAAGCTGATATATAAGGATGTTTGCATTTTGGTATATGGACTTACAGACTATGAAGCCTCTCATATCATACTGAATATTGTTGAAATACTGGTCTTAATTTAGGAAATGATGTTTTGAATTCCAGGAAATGACCCTATAAAAATGGAAGTTAAGGAAAGGAAATCTGCCTGTGTTAGAAACTCTCTGGGAGGGAAAATGAAGAAAAGAAAGTCAGTACAAACAAAGGAGAATGACTAGAGGCTGAACCAGAGGAAGGTGGGGATTTTACCAGAGAATGAGGAATTTATGGAATGTGGGTGAAAGATGCCTGACAGTTTTTCAGGTCTAGAAAAGCCCACTTAATCTTTCCAGAAGCTCAGTAGTATCTTCTGATTGCACTAGTTAAATAAAAATCCCCCACAGACCAAAAACCCCTATTTGCACTAATTTTGCCGTGCTACTGTGGTAATCTAATGAGGAATCCAGCATACTTTAAGGTAGACCACATTGCAAGTGTGACAGGACTTTAAATGTTACAGAATGCTGTGGCCAGCTGCTTGAAAGCCCCCAGGTTTGTGTCTCTCTGTTTTAACCCCATTCCCTTTGGTTCCTCTGACTATTCCTCTGGACTGCCATTAAACTCTGTTTCCAGCGGGGCTGCTAGTATTTATGGATTTTCTCTTTTAGCAGGAAGTGATGGTGGTGGTCACCAGCAAAAGGAGCCAGAAAGAAAATGGAACTCCCCATCTATGTGGATGCTTTCAGGCTAGTTGGAGTAGGAGGGAGGTAAGGTACAATCTCTTTTGGAGTATCTGGAGTGCCTGGGACTACATCAACCCAGAGAGCTCCCAGCAAGGTATCTTTTCCATGCTCCAAATCATTTATGGTCATAGGGTGTGCTCTGGGAATACTCTGGTGTTCCTGCTTGTGCTCAGATACAGGAACCTCCTGCAAGCGGTGCAGACACAGGGACACTGCCTCAGGGTCCTGCTATTCCAAGGGAGTTATCTTGGACAGGTTGACTGACCTCCTGGTAATGTGAGCCCTTGGGAAGACAGGGAGTAGCAGTGACCCCCCCTTGCTCACAATGGCCAAGCAGCTAAAACCATCAGCTTTTACAGTGGACATATATCCAAGCCTTAGTATGGTTTTCCATGAGCTTGGTTTGCTTGCGGCAATGGCACTGGTGCAGTTGTCACACACCTAGGCTGTCTTTGTCGAGTCCAGGATGAAGTCTGAAAGCGTCTTTCGCCCTGCACTGAAACGTGATAATTCTCAGTGTTCTCATGCATTGTGGAGTGTAAAAAAGATGTTTATTATTGAAAAAAAACAAACCAGTTTGCAGTATCTGAACAGGGCTCTCCTCATGGCCTTGGCTTTTTAAGTGGGTCAAGGCACACACTGGGCATTTATATGGCATGCCTTACACCTCCATCACGTGCAGTAACCTGTGCGTGTATGGCAACTCCGGCGGTAACGACGGGAGCGGTGGGCCAGCCTGCCCCGCAGCCCCGAAGAGGGTCAACAGTCGCCCGTTCGGTCCCCCAACACCGAAACGGAGCTCGGCAGTGACGCCTCCCGGCGATGCGGTTTTCCCTTCCCAGGCCGAGCGCGCAGGCCCGGCCGCCGGGGCCTGGCAACCCGCGGAACATGTCCTTAGGCTGCGGCCGGCCGCGCGGGTTTCGGCACTTGGTGCGACCGGCGGTGAGGGCGGTCTGCGCCTCTCCGCTCCGCTCCTTGTTGGGCTTTCTCTCCGCTCGTCCCGGCGCCCTGTTTCCGGCAGCGAAGCGGTGGCAGCTCCGTCCTTCCGCCGGCTGCTCGTCCGGCGCTGTGTGCGTGTGGCCGCCGCCATTTTGTGAAGAAAGGCGGCGGAGGCGAGTCCGCGGCCGGTTGGTAGCGGTCTTGCAGTGCCGTCCCTCCGCCTATAGCGGGGAGAAGGGGGAGGTGGGGTCGGGCTCCGCCTCCCAGCATTGCGGCGGGGGAGGCTGTCGGTAGGATCGGATCTGTGGCCCGACGTAGGTATCGCTGCTGGAGAGGCGGGCCGGGGCGGGCACAGGAAGGGACCGGGACTTCCTGGCGTGGTGGCGCTAGCGGCAAGACGGGACCTCAGCAGGAGCCCCTGAGGGGCGCGGCTTTCTCGTGTTCTTGGTACTTCTCGTGAGCGCGTTGTGCTCCCCTCGCTTGGGAGGCTGCTGAGTTTATAAAGAGGTTTGTTGTGTGATGTTCTCGTTAGGGATGAAAAATAAGCGATGAGGTCTGGTTTGATGCAGTGGCGATGGCGGCAGCCACCGTGTAAGCATTGCGGGTCTGCCCGTGCTCCACAGAAAGTTCATTCGATGGCGAGCTTCGCACTCGTGAGTTACCACTTTGGGTTGCTTCTATTTACGCAGAAAAAAAGCTGTAAACACAGAGATAGTTGCGTGCATATTTAGCTGATATGGAGTTTACAGAGACTGGTATGCACGGTGCGATTAATTCAGAATAAAATAGCGATATTTTGTGTTTTTTCTTTACTGATTGTACCATATGAAACGATTGGTGAGAACACCTGACACTTTGAACTACTGAAAGTTTCAGAATATAAAAGTTAATATTATTTATAGACACTTCATTTGCCTTCCTTGTGTTACAGTAGGGATTTGGCAAATTGACTCTGTAGGTCTTTGCTCTTTCTTTGACACCCTGAACAAACAGCTGGGTTCTAAACAGATCCCAATCTACAGCATTCTTAAATATGAGTGGGCTTTGAAAAGGACAACAAAAGTGGAAGTCTTGGGTGGGTTCTGCACTAAATTTGCCATACTTTTCAGAATTTATATTTTGCTTGGTTTGGGTTTGGTTTTTTTTTCCATAGCTTGGAAGAATGCATATTTTGCCTCTGTATCTCATCTTAGAAACAGTTAAACTCTCTAAGGGATTTAAATATGACTGACTCTCAAAATGGATACATTCCCAAACAGATAGTGAAAAAAACAGTTTGTATTTAATTGCGCATGTCTAATACCGAAAACTAACTGTAGGTGGATCTCTCTCTTGTTCTATGCTTCTGCTGTTATTTTAAATTATTTCTTTGCATTGCATCAACGTTGTAAAGACCAACATCAGTTTTGAGCAAGGCAGTTTCTAGATCTTTCCAGGGATCGAGAGTTGATTTCTAGGTTTGCAAATATGTTTCATAGACACTTTATGTGGTAACAGTAAAACGTACCTTTCTCCATGGTAGTAGTTTCTAACTGTAACAATTTTCTTTCTAGTGTACTGGAGCATGTTTTTACCAAGATCTGTTAAAGTCAAGAGAACTGCTGCTGAGGATGGAAGTTGTACAGCTGCTAAGAAAAATAGATTGTCTTCTGGAGAATCTTTGCTAGAGGAGACGACCAAGTTTGAAGACTGTAAGTCAGTTAGAACAGAAACTTCTGCTTCAGGGTGCAGTGAAGTTGTACAAGAACACGCAGAAGCTGCAGCTGCAGACCCTGGTGTTGTTAGTACAGCTTTGGGAAAGGACAACCAAAATACTGATGAAGGCAGCTCTTTGGAAGAACCCATAAAATCCTTCAGCAAATCCCAGCGCTGGGCAGAACCTGGAGAACCTGTATGTGTTGTGTGTGGTCGGTATGGAGAGTATATCTGTGATAAAACAGATGAAGATGTTTGTAGCTTGGAATGTAAAGCCAAACACCTTCTACAGACTCAAGAAAAGGAAAACAAGCTAAAATCTGATCAACTCACCAAAGCAGATTCTCAGTCAGAAGCACAACTGCCTAATACACCTTATTTCTACAGGGATCATTCCTTTATTTTAAATTTGCAGGATGAGCAGATTGAGAATCTTAAACTGCAGCTAGGTATTGCTGTCCAGGGCCAGCAAATTCCAAGACCTATTTTAGAGTTTCAACACTGTGGTTTTCCTGAAACTTTAAACTACAATTTAAAGAACTCTGGCTATGAAGTACCAACTCCTATCCAAATGCAGATGATCCCTGTTGGACTGTTAGGGAGGGATATTGTTGCTAGTGCAGACACAGGTTCTGGAAAAACAGCAGCCTTCCTGCTCCCTGTTATTATGAAGGTTTTGAAAGAGGTAATGAAACTTCACATGTTTAGAAAAAGTGGTTTGCAGCGTTGTCTCTTGGGTTCCCGGTGTAGCTGAGGATGTAATTGCAGTGTTTTTTATTGACATCCAAAGATTTATTATACTTTTGATTGATGCTTGCTTGCTTGATTATTGAAGTGGGGGGAGGTGCAGATTATTTTTAATGACTTTGAATATTTTTTCGCTTTTGTCAGGAGATAAAGTAACTCCGTGAATATTACTTATTACACTGTTTCTGCTTAAGAAAGATAACTAAATTCTGTGGTAAATTTCCTAAATTTAAATGACTGCTACTGCTGAACCCAGGACAATGACTTAAAATAGAAAGTGAAAATAATTCCACGTCCTCTGCAAGAAGTTGTTCCTGTATCTTTACATATCTGATGACTGAAAGAGGTTTTTTTGGTATTGACATTATTTCGCAGATTAATTTCTGTTGGAATTATGTTCCACTGACCATCAAATAACTACAGGAATTGGGGATATTATAATTTCTGAAATAGTCACATAGTCTCTCAATCAATACTCTGGGATAAAAACAATTAAGAGAACTTGCTTCGTAAGGATATGATTGTATGATGAGAGTAATGGCAAACAGTATTCTGTACCTTGTGTGTGGTTCAGTATTGCATTTTGCTTTTGTGGTTTTACTTTAAAAGAGATGTGTAAGAATATATTTGAAAATTCGGAACCCTGATCCTAGTTGATGTTTTGTAGTGTTTAGATGCCTTTGTAGATACACACTCTAATGTCTATGATGTTTTTTTTTCCAAATTAGTAACTTAAAGATTATTTAAGTATCTCTCATAATCTTTAAAGTGCTATAGCATTAGTTGTAAGAACAGAAGCATTATATAGAGGCATTTAAGAACTGCAATATTACACTTCAGCACCTCTCTGATTATCATTAAAGTCTGCAAGACAGTCACACACTTATAATGGCATGCACAAAATTGGAGCCTTAATGAATAATACTTAATTTTTCTACATGATCTTTCTCATTCTTCATCTTCAGAGTACTTTATAGGTTAATGTATACATCAGGAGAGAGTTTTATTTTGTTGTTTAAAGTATTTAATTTTTAATGTAAAAGAGACATGAGATATTGAGAGCATGAGGGGAATCTGATTATGAGATACTTGACAGTTTCTGCCTTCTCAACGCTGATATCTTTTCTGTGTGGTAAGTTGTTAAACGCTGTTGCCCACTTGAAAGCAACTCAAAAAGCTCTTATTGACACAAGTATTTAACTGTGTAGTTCCTTTGATGATGCAGTGGGAAAGGAACAACCTCCTGTTGGTCACTTGCAAGTATTCCAGTGGGGACCAGAAAGAAACATACACCATCCAGAAAAACATTCAGAAATCTGTGACTCTAGCGTCAATATCTGAGAGCTTTGTTTATTTGCTGAACAGGTGATTATTATTACCTTAATAATGTGTCTTGGAGCTAGGCAGGGAGATGTTATTCTGTCTCCCTGCCCTTTCCCGTTTTACCTTATGTTCATAGAATCATAGAATAGTTAGGGTTGGAAAGGACCTTAAGATCATGTAGTTCCAACCCCCCTGCTATGGGCAGGGATGCCTCCCACTAAACCATGCCACCCAAGGCTTCGTCCAACCTGGCCTTGAACACCACCAGGGATGGAGCATTCACAATCTCCCTGGGCAACCCATTCTAGTGCCTCACCACCCTTACAGTAAAGAATTTATTTTGTTCTTTTTACAATGTTCTTTGTTAGTATGTGTTAACTGGAGTTAGGAATCTCTATTAAATAATCTGAGAGGAATTACTGCTCTGTAATTTTGTGTTTTCTGTGTTGCAGAAGTATCAGGTGAGAATTTGGTTAGAGATCCTTATATAAGGAACAACCAGAAAAAACACTTAAGACTGCTGCTTTAATGATTCATTTGTATTTGGCTGACTAATAGTGCGTCAGAGGAACTACTAATTTTGTTTTCCAATTTGAGATGTGGGGTTTTTTTTCTGTATAAAGTTTCTATCGCTGCTTATCTTCTCTGGCTAATCTGTAATGTTTTTACATAGTGTGTGCAAGACAGTAAAGGGAAATAGTCTGTTTTATCAACGCTTCTAAAAGCTTTTTTTTTTAATGGTCTCTAGATTCAACTAGATCTTGTGTTTTCCATTCATGTGAAATTTATTCTGAACTTCTGTTACAGATTCAGTGCAGTAACTAGAATAGAAAAACACCAGTATTTACAAATGGCTACTAGATTTCTGGGTCTTTTTTGTTGTCAGGAAGCTGTTGTCAGGAAGCTATTCTAACAGTGTACTTTGACATGTATTAGTTTTTTGTTTTCAAAAGTTGAGTAACTCAGGGATAGACTTTCTTGGCCTGCATTGTTAAAGGTATAATCCCTTTCTACCTTCTGTCTTAAAATAAAAAGGGTATTATCCGTATATGTTTTATCCACAGTAGCTGTGCTATATCATTTATATAATTTATATTAATATATTTATTTATATGCATATAAAATTAAAGTGCAATTTATAATTTATAGCCACAGTAGCTGCACTATGTAAATTAGTATAATTTATATGAAAAAAACAACTGGGGCTGTTCAGCCTGGAGAAGTCTGTGTGGAAATTTCATAGCAGCCTTCCAATAACTGAAGGGGGCTTGCAAGAGTGCCATAGAGGGACTCTGTATCAGGGACTGTCATGGTAAGGCAAGGGGTAATGGATTCAGACTTAAAACGGGAGATTTAGGTTGGATATAAGGAAGTTCTTTACTGTGAGGGTGATGAGGCACTGGAACAAGCTGCCCAGGGAATTTGTGAATGCTCCATCACTGGCAGTGTTTAAGGCCAGGTTGGACAGGGCTTTGAGCAACCAGCTCTAGTTTGAGGTGTCCTTGCCCATGGCAGATGAATGAAATTAAGGTCCTTTCCAACCCAAACAATCCTATGATTTTATATAATACTAATAATTAGTATTGGGAGATTTAATTTTGAAAACTTGTCATCTATATAATAAAGCAATTCCACGTTCAACAGAATTTTCTCCTCTTTCTAGACAGAAACTCCATCTGCCCTTATTTTGTCACCAACAAGGGAGTTAGCAATTCAGATAGAGAGACAAGCTAAAGAATTGATGGCTGGATTGCCAAACATGAGAACTGTTCTCCTGGTAGGAGGCTTACCACTGCCACCACAGCTTCACCGTCTCAAGCAAAGTGTTAAGGTAAGTACTGTAGTGGGTAAAGATCTTGGGGAAAATTATGTTTCCATGACATATGTTGACATATGTGGTCACACAAAGACGTGAACAGACAAGGAGTTCTAATTTACAGCAAAACCAGTAAAATTTTATTATTATAAGCTGTGTATATAAATGCAGGTTATATTGCCTGTATTTAAACGCTTCCATTAGAGTTCTAAAGGGTCCATTTCTTTTTGAGGCTTCACAGTTTATTAAGTTATATGTAAGAGTTTTATGACTTGAATGCAGGTAGTACCAGCAATTACCAGCCTTCTCAGCTATGTGTGGTAACTTTGTAGTTTTTCTGAGTCATCTGTCCTTTCATGGAATTTCTGACTCCTGGGTTGTTTTTTTTTGTTTGTTTTTTTTGTGTTTCTTTTCTTAGGTTATAATAGCAACACCTGGAAGGCTTCTTGAGATTTTAAAGCAAAGTTCTGTTCAACTGCATGGCATAAAAATCGTAGTGGTGGATGAAGTAAGTTTTCACTTTATCAGGGCTGCATTCTGTACAGAGGTCCTTGAAGAGTCAGTGTGAGTGGCTGGTATAACTGATTAAACATACACTTTCTTTGTTATAAAGTATATGTTTTAAGAGGAAAACCATAATTTTTTAACATGGTTTGAACTGTGTTTGAACAAGGCATGTTCTGTTGGCTATAACAGACTTAGATGACCGACAGGGTAATACTGCTAGACCAGTGTGAACCAATTGTTTTTAATTTTCTCATTCAGCCTTTCTTCTGAATTAAAATGTCCTGCATTTGGGTTATTACGTGCCAGTTATGCACATTATGGTTCTTCTGTCAATCTTTTCAGGGTTCTGCTGCTCAGGGAAAAATCTGGTACAAATGTTGGTTTGTTTTTTTCTTTTCACTTAGGTGGATACCATGTTAAAAATGGGTTTCCAGCAGCAAGTGTTGGATATTTTGGAAGACATCTCTCACGATCGTCAAACTATACTGGTGTCAGCCACGATTCCAGTGGGCATTGAACACTTAGCAAATCAGCTTCTGCACAATTTTGTAAGAATAACAGTTGGAGAAAAGAATCTCCCGTGTTCCAATGTTCGCCAGATTATCTTGTGGGTAGAAGAGCCATCTAAAAAGAAAAAGCTATTTGAAATACTAAATGTAAGTTCAATCTTTTTCTCATAAGAACAACTTATGAGTCATGTCTTTACGCATCTCTGCTCGGTTCTTATCTTTAATTGTAATAGGTAGTGAAGAGGAGGAGTGAGGTTAAGCATGTAACTGCACTAACTAGTGCACCCAACAACTCCTTCTGTGCAGCAGCAAACTAGATTCTTTTCTTGGATACAGATTAAGAATTAAGATTTTGATTTTTTTTTTTTTGTGATTTGCACTGTGTCATACCAAAGATCTGTACTGGTTATCTGAGAGTGGTAGAGGAACAGAACTTTCTTAAACTGCCATAGCTGCTCTGTGGCCTGGGAGTGGTTTGTGATTTTAGAAGTCAGAAGAGAAACCAGTGAGAAAGCTAATTTAGTTATTTCTTGAAATTATTTTAAATTAATAATCTTTTATGAGTATCTTGGGGGGAAATTTGGAGTCTTGGCTGAAGTTATTCAAGAAGTAAATTAGAATCTTTAACTGAACCTCAAAACTTTTTTTCAAGTTTGGAATTATTATGTAACATTTAAAGAAACATAAAAGCTGCTTTTAAAAAATGGATGTATTGGGTTCTGATTCTATAAATCATATGTTTATGATGTACAGATGTGTATAGTTTGCTGGCTGGTATCTTGTTCCTTCTTATGTATAGAGTCTAAAAACATTTAATCATCTGAAGGTCTTGTTAATATTAGAGATAATGAGCAGAAGAAATTGAATCCAAGTTGGTGATGATGAGCAGCAAACTGTTGTAATACCTTCTTACATAAACTGTTTAATTTTACAGGATAAAAAACTCTTCAAGCCTCCAGTGTTGGTATTTGTGGACTGTAAACTAGGAGCAGATCTGTTGAGTGATGCTGTTCACAAGATTACAGGATTGCAGTGTACAGCTATGCATTCTGAAAAGTCTCAGGTGGAAAGAACAGACATATTACAGGTTTGTGTCTCCTAATGATAAATTTAAAATGGCTTTTCTTTTCTTTCCTTTTATTTTTGTAAGATTTTTTTTTTTAACAAGTTAAATCATAATTTATTGCTTTTCTACAATAAAACCTGGAGTATTGTTGTGACAATGAAGAGACAGATGGACCAAGCAAATTACTGGAGACTAATTCCTAGATTATTTGCTTTGAAATGGGAATTTAAATACACATTTGAGTTTAATTGACAATGTTTTAATTGAAATTGTGGTTTTAATTTCTTTAATTACCTCCGTGAATTATATTTTTACTTAAATCAGAATACAGGGAGTCATTCTGTCTTCTGCAGCAGAATAATCCTGCGGGGTATGTTCTTGCACTACATAACTAACCCCAGCCTATCCTTGGAGAGGTTCAAAATATAAATAAAGGAAAAAACTATTTTTATTTATTCTTCCTTTGCTAGGGATTACTTCAGGAGAAGTATGAAGTTATAGTAAGTACTGGAGTCCTTGGGCGAGGTCTGGACCTTGTCAACGTCAAACTGGTAGTAAATTTTGATATGCCTTCAAGTATGGATGAATATGTACATCAGGTAAGTAAATAATTGCTAAAGCATTATTTGAAAAGTATAATGAAATGTGACATCCACCTCTAGAAATTTAATTGTAAGTGTAAACAGAAAGATTAATTTCCTCTTCCGAATATTGTTCATATAAGAAAGAAAGGTGCTCAGTACCTGTTCTGTCTCTTCTGTAAGTTATTAAAATCTACAATGCTGTTGTTTTGTCTCCTCTATATTACTATAGACTAGAACAGTGTTCTTTGGTCAGTTATGTTTAAAGTATTATTCTTCCTGTTTTGTACTCTTACATAATTTTGTCTATAGAAAGCAAAGCTTACCGTGTTTTAACTATCTGTGTGAAGAAAGGCCAAATGCCCCTCTTTCTGCTGCAGCTCATCTGCAGATATGTGATATGGCTGGGAAGCCAGTTGTGAACTTAATGTTCATTCCCTCTTCTTACTCCAGTATCTCCTCTGTTTTTTTTTTCCTGAGAATTTCCTGCTTTAGAAATAAAAAGGTGGGTGGGTTGTGTGTGTATGTGTAGTTAAAACACCCTAACCCTAGTTTGTCTAGCAGATGAAGAGAACTAATTATTACCCTCTTTTTGGAACTTAGAAAGCCACAGTACTCTAGTACTGTGACAGTTTTGAGAACATCAACTACAAGAAAAGCCAACAAAGGGGAGAGAGTGTACAAAGTCAGGGGGCTGGCTCATGTGACATGTGAATAGAGTCAGAGGGAACTGGGCTTGTTTGGGCTGGAGGTGAGATGTAATTGCTGTTTTCTGTTTGGTAATGCATGGTTACATAGGAGACAGAGCTAAACTCTTGGAGACGCACAGTGAAAGAACAAGAGCCAATAGTTACAACTTACTGCAGGGGAAATTCTGGCCTTATAACAGGGAAAAAAACCCTTTGTTTTGTTTTTCACAGTGAGAGCAGGCAGTAGAGTGAGCTACCCAGAGACATGGTGGCACCTTTGTCCTTGAAGACACTTGAAACTCACTCCATAGGACAAGACCCTGAGCAAATTGATCTAACCTCTCTGGTTTTTAATTCTCTTTCTGCAAAAGTTTCAAGCAAGTAGTAAATAAATACAGGTGGTCTTTCCTAGCATCAAAACTGTACCAATATTAGCATGATATCTCTTCCTAAATAGAGAGTCTTTGTATATACCTTCCTAATTTGTTCAAGCACTTTGGATAATATTGATAATTTTCAGTTACTAGAACATTGAAAGTAAAGCGCTTTTTTATGTTCATGCTTGTACGTCTTGTGCTTTGTACAAGATACATGTATGTGGCATTGCTACAGTAAGCATTTTTTGAAGTATTTTGTTTGGACCAGATTTACTGTAAGCCTTTGCTCATAGGCTATATCATACATCTCAGCATCAATATTGGACTTGAGGTATGTCCCATAAGCAAGTTGTGATTTTTGATGGATTTAAGCTAAATCTTCAGATCTGCATGTTCTGACTTTAAGAAGTTTATCAAAACTTTATGCTTAGAGGGTGAGACAAAGAGATTTGGCGTCACTTAGGTTAGTCAGTGTTTTATAACAGAAAGTAAACTTTATGGATCACTGAAGAACTTGCATTTAATACCGATAACTTAAAATATTTTTTTCTTTTTCAGGTTGGAAGAGCAGGAAGGTTGGGTCACAGTGGGACTGCAATTACTTTTATCAATAACAACAGCAAGAAGCTCTTTTGGGATGTTGTGAAGAGAGTAAAACCAACAGGCACCATTCTTCCCCCACAGCTGCTTAATTCCCCGTATCTTCATGACCAAAAGAGAAGGGAACAACAGAGACTTAAACAATTACAGAATAGGCTTGTAACAGGAGATAATATAATGGACATTATTAGAAAACATGACAAAAATAATTCTCAGAGGTAATAAAGATATATTTATAGTTATGTAATCATAATTAAAGTGTGATTAAAAATAAACATGGAGTTTTGATGCCTTGTATATTGCCTTTTTTGAAGAAGTTTATTCAGTTTTTTAAGGAGTCTCATTTTTAGCTCATCTTTATTTTGAAATACAGGCTATTGTGTGTTTGAATTACAGTAGTGCCTAGTAAAAACACTTCAGCCCTTTCTCGAAATCCAGTAGTCTTTGATCTTGCCTATAAAATGAACGGAGGAGGTACAATTTTGTTTTAATATTTCTGAATAATCACCTCAGACTTGTGAAACACACTCTTCTGGTGATTTTTGTGTTATTATATTCAGACAAGATCTTTGCAAAGGACACTCTCACAAAAAAAAGGATAAAAATACGCTGACAGATTGGTGTCTGAACACAAGCCTCAGTCTCTTCCTGTTAGTTCACATAAAAGTGTCCACTGGGAATATTGCTCTGAATCCTTGGTATGCTTTCTGGGGTTTCTTGTGAACATACATTCAAGTTTTGTTTTTAAACAGTACTGAAAGTAGTTTCTCTTTTATTTCCTGTGGACCAGTTAGAAGTCCTGCTCAAGCATTTGCAATAGCAGAAAACCTTGGTTATTAGTACAACTTCATTGTAGAGAAGTAGGATAAACCACCTAAGGTAAATAAAAAAAAATTGTGTTCTGATTAAATGAAACAGTGTAGTTCGCTACATATATATGTAATATATTGATACATGTATAGTACGTGTAACAGACATGAATATGTAAATCATTACTACTTAAGCACAACTTGCCTTGTTCTGACACTGGATGCTGTTTATTTTTTTGGAGGGTAATAAAACCAAAACCATATTAAGACAGTGTTACACAACTTCCATCCAACGTCTGAGATGGGTTATAATCAAGACTTGCTTTTTTTTTCCTCTTTCAAACTGAAGCTTGAGGAAATTGGTTTCATCATAGTTTTCATGTTGTTGTGATGCATCATCCCTTTTTGGCAGAATGAGGTGTCCCAGGTAGTTTAGATGTCAGCTCTGTGCATTGTATATTTGCTCTTTGGCCAAAGAGCAGCAATACAATAGCCTGGCTTTGTTTAATTTTTAAAAGCTCAGTAGCTGGCTATGTTTTTTTTTTCTGCAACTGGAAACAAAGAGAATGGGGTTTGCCTGCTGGGAGACAGATGTCATAACTGTCATACTGGTGCCAGATTTATATAGTTAGTAATGACAAACTACTAATGTTAATTTTGAAAGTCTGAATTATATTTATTATGATGCCTACTATTTTCTAAGCACTTTTGCTACTACTTTACTCTGATACAGGGAAACCTTTTTAACTCGCCTCTTCTTTCCCTTTTGTCTCCCTCTGCTGGGTTTTTAATCTTTTCCATATTAACCAGTTGTACAGTATTTATAAATGCTGTATATTTTGTAAGAGGCATGTATCCTTCGGCAAGAGACCAGTTTTTCTTCCATGAGGTGGCTTGGGCGTATCCCTCCTGTCCAGTCCTCGGCATCATCAGTAGCGCCGTTTGTTCCGAGGGGTGAATTCCTCTCCCCCACCGTCTCCCGCCCGCCCTCGGAAAAGTCACCGGCCTGGGTCCGGCTTCCTGCCCGCCCTCCTTGGGATCTTCCCGAAGAGGAGGAAACGCTTCAGGACGCGGAAGCCGCGGCTCTGGGCGCTGCTGCCCGCCCGTCCCTCACGGGGCCGCCCTTTCTGACGCAACTCCCTGCAGGAGCCAATCCCCGCGGGCCCGGCGCATTCAAACGGGGCACGAGATGGCGTGTTCGTTACGGAGCGAGACCGGTGCGTGAGGTGAGGTGAGGTGAGGGGCGGGGGTTCCCTCCAGGGCCCGGGGTGCGCTACCCTCGGGCATCCCGCGGGCGGGCTCTTCTGGGAGCCGCAGAACTGAGGTGCCGGTAGCCCCTGGCTCCCTCAGTCAGCCGCTGCTTTCTTCTCGCTTTCCCCTAGGGGCGCGGGAGGGGCCGGCAGGGCTGAGGGGCCGCTTCGGCTGGGCGGTCCTAAAACTGGTCAGTAAGGCGTATCCCCCGTCTGATGGGAGCTCTGCTGAAGAGGGTGGGTTTGCTGAAGGATAGTCAAGCTGTAGAGTTCCCCTGCGCTTTCACCCAGCTCTGAACACTTCGATTTCATCTTTACTTGTTATTTGTCATGATTGAAAATGAGGAATGAGCGTACTTTTAACAAGTCTTGAACCTTATTTTAGAATGCAGGCGGTCTTAGTGGGGGATTAAGAAAAGCGTTGTGTATATTTGCAAGCACAGCTATAGAGAAGGGTGTGTGAACTTCTGTCCTTACGCTAGGTATTTCAGTAGAGTTCCTTTTCCTTTGAAGGAGAAATACGGACTTTCAGGAAACACTAACGCAATTCACGTCTTACAACCATGTTTATTTACTGACTGCTAGACGGAACCGCAAAATGCGTGTTTTACAGAGTTTTCTGTATCAGACTTATTGAGCAATAACTTTCCTCACAAATTTTGACCTAGGAAGGCTTTGGGCAGTCGTGACACGTAGAAGTGAATGTAACTGCATAAATTCTGAGAGGACTCTGAAAGCTGTAACTCAAAAGTGCAGTATTAAAAAAACCTGCTGTCTGAGCAATGGTTAAACGGTTGCTTCTGTAGCACTTGCTTTCATCTTTCTTCCCTTTCCTTTTCCCTTTTGTTTTGTCCCCTGAACATTTGCAGTTGTTAATGATAGATGACGTTTTTGAAGGATCTGAGACAGGTGACTTACTGCCTTGTAATAGCAAATTAATTTAAGCTGGCAAGTTTGCAGTGGGTACTGATGTCAAACCTGTAACAACCCAATAACTATGATGTATATGAAACAGTGAAAACATGCTTTTTTATACAGGTTGGGTATATGCACCTTTCTAAATACTTGCATGTAGAAAGGACCCAGAATACATTTTACCATCTTCTTTTTCTGTCCTGTAGGCTTTTTGCTATGCATCTATGTACTATAGTGAATTAAAATCATGTGCAAACATGTTTTAATAGTTGTCTTTTCTAACTGTCCTGTTCTGATAGTGGGATTTACGTTATAAAATCCTCAAAAAAACCCAACCCAAACCCACTTCTGTGTTCACAGATTTCCTACTCAGTGTTACTTTTGTTGTTCTAATGGAGTCTCTTAGATGTGAAACACAAAGAGCATAAATAATTGTGAGTGAATGAAGGCACAATCTTGAATTTGCTTTCTTTGGGCATCATTGTAGATCATTTGAAAGAAACGTCCATGTTGATCTTTGTTGCTAAGTACTTAGATTGTTCTTTGTACCAGCTGGTGCTTCATAATGTTTGGTTTATTTTCTGGCACAAATAGAACTCAATAAATGGAATCAAATAGCCTATTTTTGGTAGAAGCAGTCATTCAAATATTAATGATTTTTAAAGTACTGGAGGTGAAATAGGCTACTAACTGTTATTAATGTTTGGAATATGTATTTATTGCAATATATGTAAGGAGCTCCAAAACACAAGTTGCACTGGGTATGAGCATCATAACAGTTTTTCCTTTATCTCCCCAGATTGCTTAAGAAGATGCAACTAGAAATAATCTTTTAGGAAAAGTGTTGTACATTTGAAAAACCTAACAGTAACTTGCTGGTGAACAAAATGCCTATTTACACAGTTCCTGCAAGAAGCCCCTCTGAGGTACGGCATACTACCGCTTTGCAGAAGGCTTCTTCACAGAATACCTTTACCAGCAGCAGAGTGTCTGGGCAGCAACTGCAATCAAATGAATCGGGGAAAGAAAAGGGAAGTCTACTTTCATGTTCTCAGAATAAGACGGGGGAAGTAAATAGGACCTATGTGATTTCAGCCTGTAAAAAAGTGTGTGATGCATCAGCAGCCTTTAAACCTGAAGGCAGATTAATGCTTCAGAGGAGAACTGGAGCAAGCAAAAAAACAGTGTCCGGTAGTGAACAGTTGCATGCAAACACAGCACAGGGCATGCAAAATATACAAATGGAAAAAAGACTTACTCTGCAGAGGCGTGTGAGGACTGACTCCATAGAGAAGACTAAAATTACTCCAAGTACTATGCCTGGAATAGAAAATAATAACTTTGCTGCACAAAGAAATGACAAGATTGCACTTATGCCAGAGATTAATCCTAATGATACCTACGATGTTAAACCAAGCTTTAAGTTAGTTGAGGGTCAGTTAGATATGAAGTTGCAGTGTAACCTGAACAGCAAGGATTCCTTTGGCTTTGCTGATGGTCTGCGTGAAAATGACAGTTGCATGTGTTTAAAATACAGGACAAACGCTGCTGACACAAAGTTTCCAAATGAAGTTGCTAAATCAGAGCAATTAGTTACCTCAAAATATACGAATAAGCTGTCAGGAGAGCAACTGAATGAAAATGGTACTGGAAAGCAAAGGTTACCACATTTGATGATAAAGCATAACACTTCAGAAAGACTGAGGACGCCAACAAAAATTTCAACAGAAATATTTGAGCTTGCACCAAAGAACAACGCTTCTCAGGACCAGCCATCATTGTCAGCTTCAAATAAGCAAAAACCTAATCTTAGAATTTTAGCCAAAACTAAAACTAGTGTCACCAGCTCTCCTTCTATCACTAGAAGTTTAAAACCAAAAGAGAACATGGAAGCTCTTGCTGACAGCAGTAGCACAGAGAAAGATGTTTTCAAAGTGGAAAACAGCAAAGTGATTGTAGCTGTGCGTGTACGGCCTTTCAAAAACAGGTTTGTATCCTGGATTTATTTCTGATCGTAATGGTAACTTTTATAGCATATGTTAATTCCTGCTTTGCGTGTTTTGAGTTGTTTAATCATAGACCCAAGATTTTATTAAGAGGTTAAATTCACTTTATAGGTGTTTGGGGCTATTTGTTATATATTCACTAGATGAAGTATATTGAACTTGAATGCTTTATATGTTCACCAAGTAGGTGTGGGTTTTGTTTTTTGTTTGCTTGGTTTTGTTTTTATATGATTACCAAACTTTTTATCTTCCATTGGGAATTGATTGAAATGGCAAACTTAAAGCATGTAGCTTATGTTTTTCAATTTTTAATTTTT